CTTCGGGCTTTAAATGCGAGAATGAAGGACCACATATATCCAGAATGCCATACAAATAGATCAATAGAGCCCTGACATACATTTCTAGATTGGAGATGGTCTGCATCAACTCTAAGGTGTTCGGAAATAAAAAGACCTCCATGATCTTACATGTGACTATTGCACTTTTTAACAAGGCTGAAATTGCAATATTAGCTTTAGGGTTGAATGAGGTAGATCCTCTCTCAACCTATATGGATGTATAAATGAAAACAGTTTATGTAAAAATGGCATCAGCTGTTTTCAGCAAGTGGAGTAGATTTGTTACACCACCCGTTGAGAGAACTCTCTGCTACCATTCCTTTATGGCACAGAAACTGGGACACACCCAACACCCAAAAGAAATATAGCTTGACACATGGACAGCTGCATTTGGCGCCGGATAAAGCTTCCAAACAGCCCTAAGATGGCAAATAGTTCCTGCAACTTTGAAATAGCAAAGGGAGTGGCCACCACAGTGAGGTCTTAAGCATGAGGGGGAAGTGGTGGACTATCTAAATGGAGCTTTAATAAGATCTCATCTATCACTTTTTAAAAGGGTGTCCAGCAACAGCTGGGCGTCAAAAGAAGATGCCCTGGGATTGCCTGTACAGCCCATCAAAAATCTCTTCTACCTCTTTGCTTCTCACATGGCATTTCCCTTTCTACCAGGTCAACTCCAACTTCCACACAGAGTGATCAGGGCTCACCAAGGGTACTGCCTATGCAAACTGGAAACTCTTCAGTGCCCTTCAGGAATCCATGAACCTCTGGAGGTGGCTGTTATAACCTGTCCACCACTAGTGCGGAAAGTCAAAAATATCACATGTCTAAACCTCACAAGGAAGTAATCTGTCCATAATGAACACTGGAAACTGAAATTCCACAATAGTCCTCATTAACTTGGAGTCTCTAGCTTAGTTTGGTCACTAGCGCAATGCCAAAACTGAAAAACTGCATCTCCAAAGAGACAAAAGAGGACACGGTTTTGAATATGTACATATACCGTATTTTCCGTCCCATAGGACGCTCCGCCCCATAGGACGCACCTAGTTTTTTGGGGGGGAAATAAAGGAAATCCCCCCCCTTTATTTCCCCCCAAAACCAGGTCGGGGAAACCGAACCAGGCCGAGGAACAGCGGGATGGCGGCGCTGCGCCTCCCTGCTGTCCCCCGAGCTTGTGGGGCTGGCCCATGTCTGCCCGGCACGCGGGGCGCTCTGCTTCAGGGTGCCCCGTGCGCCGGGCGGCAGGCTGCTATCTGCAGCATGGGGAGCCCTGCGGGGAACTCCTACAGGGCTCCCCACGCTGCGGATGTCTGTCTGGCGCGCGGGGCACTCTGCTTCAAGGTGCCCCGCGCGCCGGGCTGCTATCCGCAGTGAGGGGAGCCCTGCGGGAACACCCGCACCGACCCCTTTCGCTCTCCAAGCTTCAGTGAAAGCCTGCATTTGCCCCATAGGACGCACCCAGATTTCCCCTTCATTTTTGGAGGGGGGAAAAGTGCATCCTATAGGGCGAAAAATACAGTACTAGTTTACAAGTATAGATGCAGATTTATAAATTACAGAAATTTAAGCAGAAATGCAATGACTCTTCCAATAGCGAAGAAGTTGATGACGAGGTGACTTATGTGCCTCCTCAGCCTGCTACTCTGGTGTTAAACGGGGAAACTTCAACACCCTCCCTACTCTCCAAACAGGGGACATACCTCTATAAAGTAGGGTATGCGGCCTCAAGCGGAATGTGTCATAAAGTGGTGCCAGTGTTTCTCTTTTGCATTTGAGAAGCTTGCATGAAAGGGGTTGAGTTCAGACTGGAGTCTGGTCTACTGAACGTTACGCTCACCAGAGTCACAGAGAGAGTCGCCGTTCTCAAAATGCATTTCCAAAACACAAATGAGTCAGTGGTATATTTCATATACAGCAGAGCCAGCTCAAGCTATTTCTGCTGCCCAACAAGACTATTATTATTATTATTATTATTATTATTATTATTATTATTATTATTATTATTAAAAACCATTTAAATCCCTCTCTTCTGCTTTTTTAAAAAAGCACTCAAGGCAACTAACAACAAATTCATAAAATAAATGTAAAAATGCATGACAACAGCAGACAATTACTCCCTCCATCTTGTGGGCGAAAGAGGCATGTTTTCACCATCTTGAGTGTTCCTGTTTGCAGACACAGGAAGGCTTTTATTTATTTAGAAAAAACAGTAAAAATCATTAAGAATCTCTAAGAGGTATACAAAAATAATTATCAGTAAATAGATAAAATCAGCAATATTTTAAAAACATATATAGTTAGTTACATATGGTAATAGATAATAATAATAAAAATTATTAGTTAAATTATCACAGCGGCTTGACTTCACCCCTGGAGGAACACTTGCTCAAGACAGACGGATGCCAACTCAAGTCTCTGGGTGGAGAGTATTCAGCAGGCATCTAATAACACAGCAAGGACTATTGGCTAAAAATCAGAACAATTGTTCTTCCCCCAAAGAAATTATACCAATTAGCCTGGCAACCCTCATAGCCACAAGTACTGCTTGTTGGTTTGAGCCAGCCCCCTGCTTACAGGCCAAATATCTCAGCTGAAGAAGAAACTTACACCCATTCATAGCCCAACCTACATCACAGCTATGCCAAAATGCTTCACTTTGTGTGAATAAATCAATGTGATTAAATTCTTTGGGTTATGATTATACTATTTTACTTTTGCTTTTTTAAAAAATCAACCTAGTAGATAACAGCTGGCACAAAGTATCCCTGCCTTCAAGCTGAAGCTTTTCTGGGTATTTGGCATTAACTGTAATGCAATAAAGCTGCCTTGAGTTATTGCTATGTTATGAATTATGGCCTGTCAGTCTCTCTCAGGACCTGTTAAATATTGCTTGTTCAGGTAACCTATAATAACGCAGTCTTGCAGACGTACAGCTAATTTATTTTAACTGTAGGTCCCCTCTACGATTCTTTCCATAATGAACACTATCCCACTGAACTCTTAATGGGCATGGGACCTTTATTGTGTCCACAAAATGCCACTGCCCAAATACACCGACAGCATTTCCACAGATCTACCGCATCCACTGAAATGAATGTATGCCATGAGAATGCATGAAGGGTTCTTGTTTGGTGTGGCGTAGGGAGGCCTGCAGTGGGCTATTTAGTCCAAAATCCTGCCCCAAGAAAGGATATCCCTTGCCAATAACTGGCTTATTTTTAATTGAAATTTACAAACCAATACAATTCCATCATTTTTATCAGTTTGTTCCATTATGACTAAAACATTTAAGTAATAAGTTATGTTTCTAACCAGTGTTTGAAATTAACCAGGAGCCAGGCGCATTTTGCACCTGGCTATCGGCCACTTGCAACCAAGATACCTGGGAAGCAGGATGGTGCCTGACATCTCCACCATCTGGAGGTGCACGCCTGGGGATCATTAGATCTTGACTGTTTTCACACACTAATATCACAACCTGTAGAATTTTATCAGTTATATTTTACCTGCACCATCAAAATGAATTTCAAGAGCCAAATGCTTTTTCTGTGCAGCCTGAGCAGAAGCAGTCACCATTAAGAAAAAGAAATTGGTATAGGTGTATGTATGTGTATGTGTGTATATATATATGTGTGTGTGTGTGTGTGTGTGTGTGTGTGTGTATGGACTGTCCCTGGATCAAGTAACTTTTATTCTCAGCGCTCTTAGCTTAGTTCAAGATTGTCATCTGAACTATCCAGATGTTTAACTGAGAATCAATCAGTCAGTCCATCATTTGAAAAATAAGAATTTACAGCCATCTTGCCCCAAAATGGCAACTAGGCATTCCATTTTGGTGACTGCAAACTTGGTTTAAGGAGTCATTTAGCACCTAGATTCTATATATGAGTTTCTTACACAGTTTCTAAGGTGTATACCAAAGATTTTCTCAGCATATAGGATATCTGAAAACATGTGATTACAACAAATGTGTCATGCAACCACTTTCCCCACATTATCTGTCCATCTCTTGTGATTCAATCATTAAATTTTTTCTGGAGTGTTGAGAATTTAATTTGTTAGATTGATAATACAGTAATGCCTTTCCACTGACATCCTTAAGGCAGCGAACATAATCACCATTCAGGTATTGCCAGTTAAAAGACTCTCCAGTAACAAGGTGGGAAAGACCTCTGCCCAAAACCTTGGATAACCACTGCCCGTCTGAGCAAACTACTTAATCATTTCTGCACAACAGCACAGAGCACTCATTATTTTGCAATACAGTATACAGGTCACTGGCAGTGATCATCCAAAGAAGTAACTAAGATACCTTCTATAATATTCATCAGTAATTCCCCATGCATTCGCTGGAGAAAGGAATCTTCCAAAATTATACAAATAAAAACAGAATGCAGAATCTAAGAACCGAACTTTTTCCTACTTAGCAACACAGAACAGAATACTAATGTAACCTCAAACCACCCAAACATTATAGCTGCCAGCACAATAGATGGAAGACAGAAGAGTAATTTTATTGCAGCGGGCGTTACAAAGATTGAAGCACTCAAGCATTAGTTTTATTGCCTTTTCCTTATCCTGGGGCAACTCTTCACCTCAGCTGGAAGCTAAATGGCAATATTTCTAACTTCTAACCTCAAACAACCTTGCCTCCCAATCCAGCACAGGCAAAAACCAAACTGCAAATTATCTCTTAAGTGAACTTAACTGCTTGGACATCTGTTTGGGGAGGGAGAAACTCTGTTTTTCTTTTGTTTTGTTTTTGCCTCTCAAACCATCAAAGGATTTTCACTCCACCCAGAAAGTGTAGGAATGACTTTTCACGTTTTACACTGGTTTTCCGTGATGCTTGGACAACTAAAGGCATCCCAAACAGTGGTTCTCAAGTGGCAGATTACGGGGTACGAGACAACAATTGAAGGCTCCCTGGCTGGTGCCCAAGGTAAATGAGAAGTATGCAACACCAGTGTACTCACCAGTGTCTGCTGATACCGTAATGTCCTTTTTGGACGGTTGTCCCCAGTCATATCCAGTGTTTGCAAATGGGGAAACTGGGCATCCCGGGGGAGGTGCCTTCCCTTCTGCTTCCCGGTTGCAGGATCATGGAATGGGACAAAACTGAAGTTGCGAGTGCTCCAGCTAAAGGCTCACTGTGGGGGGGGATGCGTAACCAGATACCCTGGTTCTGCTCATGCTCTGACACAGCAGTCGTGTCTCTGCTCTAATGCCTCTAACTGCTGCTCTGGCACTGAGTCAGCCCAGTAAATTAAAAGGTGATAAGATTTCTTTCTCCTGGCTCCAGTGGGGTTGTTTCTGTCCAAGGCCAATGACTCCAGAACTGGAAGGGTGATCGGTAGGGTTCTGGTGGAGGTGGACCGGAAGGTTGACATTTGTTTGACTCATGGAAAAAGCATTGGAAAAAAGAATGAAGAATGACCAAGACTATTAGACTGAGAAGGATATCCTAGTGGCAAAGGTGCCAACTCCTGGCTATTACCATTACAGCCCATAATCCAAAGCTTTGTATCTTTCGAATGCCCTTGTTGACAGACTCTCAACAGCATCCCCTGGGAAGCTATGTTCAAATCCCACAGGCTTCAGAGATTGTTCTCATAAGCAGGCAACAGCCACAGTCCTTACTGCAAATAAGCTCCAATGAAGTCAGCAGGATGTAACTGTAAACATGCTTAGGGCTGAGAATTATAAAAAATAATTTTGTCCCACTAGTTCTTGTTCTATTCCATAATGCCCTTTCTAAACAATTCCTTTTCTGTTTTACTTAAGGCTACCTTTCTCTAGGGGCTGTTTCAGATGTTCAGATTTCTGTCATGCACATCTAATTATCGGAACCATTCCAGCTGCCTAACCGGTGCATCTTCAGCTTATGACAAAATCTATATAATGAAAGTGCCCAGTGCACCTGTGGGGATGGAATTCTACAGCATAGCGAGAATCACATGGAGAATGCCCTCTTCCAGACCACTGCCACCCTGGAACTTCTGAAGGTGGTGGAACTATCAAGCCCACCCCCCCCCACTTGCACTGATTTAGAAGGATTCTGAAATACCTATTTAGTAGAAGAGTACAGGCTGCAAAACATGGATATTACCAAACCACTTTTGCTTTGATGGCACTAATTCTTCTCTTAGAGGTAGCCCAGGACAATCATATTCCTAAGGGTTTATTTACAGTAATGGTGTAGTACCTTGAATAAAATATGCACACACAACATGTAGTTTCTCAAACTACATACACACTAAAAACGGTTTCTGCATAACTCGTCTTTAGTTACTAAAGTGAATCCTTCAACTCAGTCAAGCCGACTATAATTATGAGCAAAAGCATGCAAAATAATAGCTCATTAGCCCGGCAATTTAAGTGACCTTTTTCATTTTTACTTATTAATGCAATTGACGTTTTCATAAGAATCCCAGTGTCTGCTTAATATATTTGTGAAAGTGTTTCCTTTCCACTTTCCCTGAGGCTACCGTTTTCCTTTTTCTTCGGCTGTTTTCTTCTGAAAAACCTAAATGGCTTTTCCTTTGGTTTTTAAATCCTTTAATTTGGGTATTTACAAATTAAGACATTAGATGTTCTTAATAAGCAACCTCCAAATTCAAAGTATGCTGTGGGTCAGATAACCATATGGAGGAAAGGACATCAGATCCAATGCAACCATGTTAACAAGTACTATACTTATTGGGGGTAAATTCACACAAGCATGGTGGTTTTAAAAAAGATTAAGTGTGGTCACATGAGGTCAGAACCCTATCTATACAGCTATCATAAACCACACTCCTCTCCTGTAAAATCAACCAAGTGCAACGTAAGATTACACAGGTGTCACTAAGGAGGATCCCTGTTTTGAATACTCAGGGGTCAGCAAACTTTTTCAGCAGGGGCCAGTCCACTGTCCCTCAGTCCTTGGTGGGGGGCGGACTATATTTTTTTGGGGGGAAAGAACAAATTCCTATGCCCCACAAATAACTCAGAGATGCATTTTAAATAAAAGCACACATTCTACTCGTGTAAAAACACCAGGCAAGCCCCACAGATAACCCAGAGATGCATTTTAAATAAAAGGGCACATTCTACTCATGTAAAAACACGCAGATTCCTGGAACGTCCACGGGCCGGAATGAGAAGGCGATTGTGCGATTGTGCCGGATCCGGCCCCCGGGCCTTAGTTTGCCTACAGACAAAGGGCTCATACTCACAACTACACAGAACTGAAAACTTTACCCACATTCACGACTCCAGGGTTAGAATCAATCATGTTTTGTACCAGTGCTCTTTGGTAAAAGGCTTGTTCTGTAACCTAGCTGCACTGCGGATATAGAGAAAGAGACCATGCCTCCTTAGTGGGTAAAAAAAAAAAAAGTACGCCAGTTAGAAAACAAGATCACTTTTTATTTTGGCACATGGAGATATAGTTTATATACAAAGTTTATAAAAAGTGGCAGTGACAAAGACCTGCCCTCTCCTTTCTCAAACTAGGAGGAGACGTCTGTACGAACACAGTACAGTTATCAAGCACCAATTTCCAGAGAGGACTCCCATGTTTTTTTCTATTTTTACTCAGAGGAAAGAACCTTTGAGTTGTCACCCTGAGCTGTTCACTGGCCCTGAAATGGCTACTGCTCAACAGGTGTGGTATGCAGTTCAACTGCACTAGGGCAGGACAAGAGGACCTTCTAAGCCTCTGCCTCATGTTCTTTTCCTAACCATTATGTTTGTTTTTAAAAATATATATCAAAATCCTATAAAAATATTTTTTTCAAAATCTTAGGCAAAAGAGAATGATAAAGGCTGATCAAGGGCAGCTGGTTTAAGCATACAGTCCTTGGCTGCAGGGTTATTAGGAAGCCGAAAGGCAACAATATACAAGAATGTAACAGCAAAACTCAGGTATGGCATGCAACTTAAAAGAAAAAGAAAAAGGGGGGGGGAGAGGGAATAGAGAACATTTCCTGTCCTCTGCAGCAAACATATGCACCAGTTAAAAGTCCAGGCTTTTAACCACCTGTGGCTACTGGGTGCCAGGACTGTTGCACCACTGGGAGTATACATTTGCACATATAAATAAGACTGGCTCTTGAGGATTGTCCTCATTTTGCAACTGAGTTTCTTAAAATGGCAGGTCCCGCAAAAGGGGGCCGTTACAGTACTGGAGAAAAGAATGCATAATTAACTGAAGACTTCCTGAATTGTTTGCTCACACAATGGGAGGAGCAAAGCAGGTGTGCAAATGGGCAAGCAGAGATGATTTCCCTAACTCTGCCAATGTGTAGATTTGCCCTTAAAAAGCCATGTGTGGCATCTGAGCAGCTGGGGGGGTGGGGGGCTTATAGCCATGCCTCTGCTCATGAGGATCAATTTCACCCACAATGAATAGGGAATCATAGGATGGGTGGCAAGGAAATATAGGCAAAAACAGTGTAGGCAAACATCCCCTAATAAAATGACAAGTCTACAATAGTCATCACAGGGTATGCTACCATTGAGAATAATGGAAATAGCAACAACAGAAGTCAAAAAGACAAACTTTTTATATAAATAGAAACACCCTGTGGAATGGAAACCTGTTTCAATTGTTTCCAAGTCCTGGTGTGAGTTTGTGCTAATAATTATCAACTTCTTTGAGAAAATAAGCAGAACAGATTTGGAGAGGGGGTATCTTTTTAGCAAAACAGAAATTGCACGTGTATTATTATTTTTTTGGGGGAAGGGGGTGATTAAAGATATAAAATGACTTTAGCATTAACCTAACTATTCCAACCTGTCTTTATTAGTCTGCATGTCCTTCATTTATTTAGAAGGTTCCTTTTCAGTTTAGCTAGTGGTTTTGCCAAATTTGCTTAGCTGCCCACAATTCTGTCTTAAAACAAAATTCAATTTATAAAGCATGCTTTTTGCTTTTGTTTTATAAAAGCTTTATGAATGCTATTTCTCACACTCCTGTTTGTGATAAATACTCGCTACCTAGGTGCTCCCCATCAACCTCAATGTTGGCACATAAACACACTACACTTACAAACCCTGAACTGGGTGGCAAGCATCAACAAGTTGCCAAAGTCTGTCTGAAAAAGTGATATTAGAGAAATTTGCACAATGAGTAAAAAAGCTGCACAGTGAGTAAGAAAGCTGGCTTAGCCAGGCATGATCAACTTAAAATACATTTATATGCTAATTTCCATAGGTCACAATATCTGATAACATATGAAATTCCCAATAAAATCAGAAAAACTGTTAGAAACAACAGAACAAGTATCATATGTTCATCAGTCAACCGCTTCCTAAACAGGACAGCTTAATGCCCCCTACCTTCAACATGAAATGATGTAAGGGAAGAGTAGCCCTAGACCTCTACAGGAGGTCATCCTATGGCACAGAGTATTACATGGACTTTGGCCTTAGAAGCAGTGGCCCCCTTAGATGACAGAGTTAATTCCTGGGAACAAGTAAAGGTCCTGGCAAAGAGTGCTACAATACTCTGACATCTCCTTGCAGCGGTGGAACTCGGTGCCTGGGGCGTGACCTTCTCGGTGCTTGATCATTCCATTCACCTAAATGGAAAGGTAACAAAAGGCAAAGAATATGATACATTTATTGTATTTTATTTTTTATCTTGTTCGAGCTCTACTGCATCAAACACAGCCGCGGCAAAAGAAGCCGCGGGCGCCAGCTCTTACTTTTTTTTTGACACAAGAAAGCCCCTCTTCAGCGCTGCGCGCAGCTAAAGCCAGAAGTCTGCCCTCTAGCGCGCGGCCGTTTTACACAGGAAACCTCCAATACAGCATTCATGAAACCTCCACTTTTTTTTGGCGCATCTCTGTGATGTGACAGATCCAACGGCTGCTGAACTTTCTCTGTACTGTAAGTCCTTACAGATACACCGGCCCTTTGAGGGTGACAAACATCTGATCGCCCCCGATGAATTTGAGTTTGACACCCTGCTACGAATTCAAAGACAGGATATTTGTTTACTCTAGACTTCGGTCTACTGCCCCATCAAAATCCAGCTTGCACTTCTGGGGAGTTCTCAGTCCACATTCTGCTTAAGCCTGCCTTGTAGAATTTTAAGCATAACCTTGCTAGTGTGTGAAATGAGTGCAATTGTGCGGTAGTTGGAGCATTCTTTGGCACTGCCCTTCTTTGGGATTGGGATGTAGACTGATGTTCTCCAATCCTCTGGCCACTGCTGAGTTTTCCAAACTTGCTGGCATATTGAGTGTAGCACCTTAACAGCATCATCTTTTAAAATTTAAAATAGTTCAGCTGGAATATCATCACTTCCACTGGCCTTGTTATTAGCAGTGCTTTCTAAAGCCCATTTGACTTCACTCTCCAGGATGTCTGGCTCAAGGTCAGCAACCACACTACCTGGGGTGCATGAGACCTCCTTATCTTTCTGGTATGATTCCTCTGTGTATTCTTGCCACCTCTTCTTGATGTCTTCTGCTTCTGTTAGGTCCTTTCCACTTTTGTCCTTTATTATGGTAATCTTTGTACGGGATGTTCCTTTCATATCTCCAATTTTCTTGAACAGGTCTCTGGTTTTCCCCATTCTATTGTTTTCCTCTATTTCTTTGCATTGCTCATTTAAGAAGGCCTTCTTGTCTCTCCTTGCTATTCTTTGGAAATCTGCATTCAATTTCCTGTATCTTTCACTATCTCTCTCGCATTTTGCTTGCCTTCTCCCCCCCCCCCCCATTTGTAAGGCCTCGTTGGACAGCCACTTTGCATTCTTGCATTTCCTTTTCATTGGGATGGTTTTCGTTGCTGCCTCCTGAATGTTACGAGCCTCCACACATAGTTCTTCAGGCGCTCTGTCCACCAAATCTAAATCTTGAAACCTGTTCCTCACTTCCACTGTGTATTCATAAGGGATTTGATTTAGATTGTGTATTACTGGCCCAGTGGTTTTTCCTACTTTCTTCAGTTTAAGCTTGAATTTTGCTATAAGAAGCTGATGATCTGAGCCACAGTCAACTCCAGGTCTTGTTTTTGCAGACTGTATAGAGCTTCTCCATCTTTGGCTGCAGAGAATATAATCAATCTGATTTCGATGCTGCCCATCTGGTGATGACCATGTGTAGAGTCGTCTCTTGTGTTGTTGGAAAAGAGTGTGATGACCAGCTTGTTCTCTTGACAGCACACCCCTAAATTATATCAAATGTCTGTTTGCAGAAGTTGCACTTTGCTTCCCAGAGGCCCCCAAAGCTAACAGTAATGCTACAGGAGGTCCAACAAAAGTTAAACAAGAATGTATCTCAAGTATCTCAAGAGTGCAGCACCTTCTAGAAGTTAGTTGAGAAGCAAGAGTGAAGCACAGCATCCCAGCTCACCTTTACAAGCATGTCAGCCACATGTGTATTTCTGGAATCTTCAGCAAACACAGAGGTCAGAGCCTCTATATACCAGGACCCACGTTTGGTGTTTCTCATAGCAGCTGTGCCTGTGTAAGTAAGTAAGTAAGTAAGTAAGTAAAGTCAATGCAAAGTAGAAAAAGAGGGACAAGAGCAAGATGATCCACCAACAGCAGCTCAGTCCAAAGGTGTAAAGCCACCTTTGAGCGGTTCATTAAAATAACATAACAAAAAGACCTTTATGGTACTATTCCAGATACCTCTCAAACAGGCATAGCCACATATCATATCAGAGCAAGTGGGAAGACGCAGCTTGGGATTCTCTTTCTTGTTGGCATCGCTTTCTTCGCAACCTGGGGAGTCAGCACGCTCATTCCCATCTATTTGGTCCACTCCACGGTCTGTCTCATCTAATAAAGAGAAAACAAGAAGGTAGGAATTTCAGTCACCTCCGTCAAGCATCTTTTCTAAAGGTACATTTCTGATTGTATGTTCAATTAGTAGGGCTTACTATTGAGCATCATCTACATTCCCTGACCTCCTTACTTTTGGCAACAATGACCAAATTTGCCTAC